TGGATTTTGTGGTGTTATTTGCTCAATTTACTTCTTTCCAGGAACCAAATGATTTGACTGCTGAGATTTTTTTATTCAGATCTTTTTGCAGAGTGTCTGGCAAGGGAAACAAGCAAAGTGTATTTTATTTGTGAAACTTCAGAAATGCTGTCTAGAAAGCACTGAGATATTTAGTGTAAATAAAAATAGAAACACAGCTAAAACTCTGGGTAGAGTATTTAGTGGGGTGCCAGAGCACAAATGTTTTGTGTCTTAGCAAGCCAAGTACTTAAATGAACAAGGGGAAGGAAGCAGTAGCTGCTTAGAGAAATTAACCAAATCAGAAATTGACTCTGTTTCATGAAAAATGGGTTTATGCTTACTGCCATCAATTCTAAAGAACAATGTTGGGAAGTGCAGCAGTTCAAGTTCAATTTTCTATGCACCTTGTTTTAACAAAAGGTAAGATGTTTATAACAAAAATTGTGTTTACTGTAATGCATGCTGACTCGATGTATTGCCTGGTTTAAATAAAGAAATAAATTTATTCCTCTGCTGCAGGTGGGGGGAATAATCTTGCATAATAATTGTAATCCTACATAATATGTAATAATCCTACATAATAATTCAGACTACATATATAAACTCTTCAAGGAATGCCCATAGGTCAGGACTCTTCTGAAAAAGAAAATACCTGTTAAATTTGGTGATAATTACTGTGAAGTGTCGGTTGAGGTTTTATCAGTTACGCTCAAGCTGGCCACCCTAATATTATGTTTTGGCAAGACAGTTGAAAATATGTTAACCCTTTAAACTTAAAAGAAGCACTTCAGTGCAGCAGGGAGCTCTATGTAAGTCTGGCGTGGGAGTGGAGGTGTTTTCAGTGACTCAAGCTTTTTTTCCTGAATGGTCTGGAAAACAATGGATGTGCTTGCTGCCAGGGTTCAGTGGTGGGTCATGAAAATGAAGTGGCTGAGAGTCAGGACGTGGTTATGGGGCTTCTCGGTTGTGCTGGTGTCTGCTGACTTGCACACTGTGTATGTGTACGTAAGTGCAGATGTGTTCTGGTGGCTGAGGCATCGTTAAGGTATTTGTTTTGCACTGCAGGTGGAGATGTGGTGGCACTTGGCAGTACCTGTTGCTCATCGCTTAGTTTTTCATGATGTAATAGCTATTTATACAATTCTGAAATAGTTATGAGAAGGCACCTAGTGCCAAATGGCTACCTTGGTTCTTTGCTGTGCTTCTCTGCCCTTTTGGGTTTCAGCAACTTCTGGGACACCTGGGGTCTGAGCAGGCTGCTAGCGGGAAAGTGAGGAGCTGCCTGTATGCTCGCCGCCTGCCTGGAGCAGCCTGAGCTCCCCTGCCTGTCCTGCGCCCTGGCTGTGGAGGAGAGTGCATGGGACGGTTGGTGAGGAGAGCAACCGTGCTGCCCCTGGTGTGCTCACCATGTGGTCAGAGGAGGTGTGCTCCCCATGTGGGGTCAGGAGGGTGTACACAAGCCTCTTGGCTGAGTGCCCTAACTATCTGGTAAGACAGGTCAGCTTGAGTCTTGATTGTTTGGAGAACACACATCTCTCAGAAACAAAGAGGATAGGTTTTCTTTTCTGCACTTTATGTGCCATTAGATTTCCCAGAGGTGTTTATCCTTTGCAGAGGAGGTTTCATCAAGTGGGAAGTAACCAAGATCAGCCATGCTATTGAGACTGGAAAGAAACGGTTCTAATTTCTCAGAGTTTGCAGCACGGTTCCTGTCCAAGCGTAGTACAGTTGAAGGACCCATTCAGACTCTGCTCTCTATGCTGTGGGATGCTTCTGAGCCTGCCGCATCATTTTGGGGGGGAAGTGAGGAGCCTGATGTGGCTTGAACTGTGCTAGGCACTTGCAGAGCATCACTATTTGTGACTAGGAGGCTGAAAAATGAGTTCTTCAGTTACTTGGCTTAGTTACCTTTCTTCTGTTGATGTCAGCATCCTGGCATACTCAAGGTTGAAAAGTTTCTGAGCTGCCTCGCTCCTTTTGTTGTTGTTGTAAAATACATGGGGTGTACCATTGGGTTTGAACTCATTTTTGGTAATTCTGCTGATGACAACAGAGAATTTGAGCTTGGCCAGTGCTCAAAATGATTTGATGTAATTAAAGGAGGAGTGGTTTACTTCTGGCACCGAGGAAAGCATTTAGCTCTTGTCAACAACGTTTACACAGCCTCTCCTGCCCCATTCTATTGAGTTTTGGGACTGCAGGTCAGAGCGGTCTCATTTTGTGATGAACTGTTTCTCAGGCCATTGTGGCCCTGATAAACTTACACTATGGAAGCAGGGTGAGTGTAGGGGAATCAAGATTTAAAGAGAGAAAATATTCCAAGTGTATGAGGGAAATATTCATAAACTGGGCAGCTTGGTTCTCACAGACCTGGTTGGAAGACTGGTTCCCTAGTGCTCTCACAAGATTTCTTCTTATTTCTGTTACACCAAGTAAGCAATGCATATGGAAGGGGGGAAGGGGTGTAGAAGCTGTCTCCATGCTTTCACTTCCTAACTGTGTTTTTTTCTTCTTTTTTTTTTTAATAAACTTAAGCTGGAGGAATTGCTGATACTGCCCTTTGATTTCTGCTCAAGTAAGCTTGCGGTTTTTGGGTACTAGTAGTGTAACTGGTCATTTGAGATTTGCCAATATAGTAAGTGTTAATTAAAGCTGGCATAATTGTAGTCTGGTCTGATTTGGAGCCAATACAGGAGATTTGCTATGTCTGTATTTCAAAATCTATGGTTTTGAACCTAAGAGGTTATTTGTGATATACTAAAGTTCGTGAGAGTGAAATGCAGTTGAAGGTGTAATAGAAACTGCAGTGAAGTATCTGTGCTGAGATTTATTGCTGACCCAGTTCCAGTAACTGTTCCCGTGACAAAAGGGACAATTGTTTATACCGCTAGTTTAAGTACTTACAGGCTCCTGTGGAGGTAAAAATAAAAATGCTCGCGTTACTTCTTGCATGCCAGAGTTTTGCAGTCCAATTTCTAGGTTCACACTTGATGTGCATGCACTGTTTGGTGCAGGCTGTCGATTTGATGTTTCTCCTACAAACAGTTGCAAGATAGTGACATATAAGTGAGCGGTGGCATGACAGGTGGAAGGAAAAGAGGGAGGCCTTCCCTCTTTTAACAAGGCCAGGATACTGTTGGGTGGTTCTGTGGATGTCCACTTCTCCCCGGGCCTGGTGTGAGCCTGGCCTTTGGCACTGGTGAAGAAGTGTCCAAGAGAACTGCATGAACCGGGAGCATGGATGCAGTGATGCACGCAAGACCAGGTTCTGCGGTATCTGCAGTATGCTGGCCTTAGTTTATCAGGAGAGCACAGACATGCACAGCTGGGTTGAAAGGATGGCATCTGCTTCGCATCTTCACGCCCTGCTTTTTGGGAGGCGCAAGCATTGCAGAGGCCAGTTGTTTGGAAAGCCACAGGGTACTTGCTTTGAGCTGGACCGTGTCGGAGAAATGTGGATAGTATTTAATATAGTTCATAGTCCATAGCAGAAAAAGGTTGTGTCAAACAGCAGCTGTTTTGCTGGAGCTGACCTCCTGAAATGGTAACTGTAAGTGGCTGCCCTGTGGCTGTGAAGGGGAGGTGCAGGTGATCTGAAGCCATGAGGATGCTGTTGAGCATGCTTGTTGGGTGAGCGCATGCAGTGCCTAAAATGCATCCCACTGGAAATTAAACTCATACACTTGGCTTCCTGTTCGGTGGGTGGATGCCACTATCTTTTTCTAGTCTGTTCTTCCACTTTCCTAGATTAAAGTACAAGTGCCCTTTTGAAAGCTAGGCTTTACTCAGCAAGCAAGGGCTTCAGGTCTTACCTGGAAATAAACACAGTTCAAAAACTCCCAAGAGTCCCAAGTGGTGCTCCCTTCCCATCCTAGGAGTAGCAGGGGTTTTATGGGGATGGAGGATTAAGTTAGAAGAGAACTGACTGGTTTTGCTGTTGATGCTGAAATCTTGGGCCTGCTAGCAAGTTAATTTAGTTTTGGATGCATATAAGTGTCGTAACAAAAACGTGTAGTTATTAAGCATTACAAGATTTCTCCAGGCAAGGAGTCACATTAATGCCACCTCTTTTGCAAAGCCTTTCTAAGGTACACTGATAGTGTGCTTGCTTCTTCTGACTGCTCTTTTTTTCCCCCTATGATCTTCCCTGTTATTTTTACTATACAAACTAAAATTAACAGCATAGATTTCTTTTTAATTATTATTAAGTTTTCCTTGTTGATTGAGGATATGTCTGTATTGCATATTTTACCATAATGTAGAAACACCTGTGCTACTGATGCCAAACATGGCAGATTAGGAATCACGGGTGAAATAAGTCTGCTATCACATAGCTAGTTAACCAAGGCACAGTATATCACCAAGGTACCCAGCTATTTGCCAGGTGCAACAGCAAATTAAGCTATATTTGCTGCCTCTATCAACTGACTTGGGCTAGCTGGAGCATCTCAATGTGATTGCTTGCTGGAGCCACACAGGGAGGAGCTGAGACTCTCTGCCTGTTGCTGGTTTGTGTGCATCTACTTGTGAAATCCTAGATGACCCAATAAGCATTTTATACCTCTGCAAAATGAGGCAGAAAAACTAGGAAAGGCAAGGGAAAGTCAGTTCAGTTCAGTAGTGTCACATTTGCTCAGCTTAGTTCCTGTTCCCTTCCTATAATGATGAGGAATCACCTAGTTGCTCAGAAGGGTGCTCTTGCTGATCAGTGGCTGTTGCATTACTTACCGGCCTTGCAATTGACAGGAACTCTTTCAGCAGTTTGTGTGCTTTGAATGTCTTAAATGAAACTGGGATGATAATGCTGGTGTCAGTTTCGTGTTTGCTACAGTTCCTTTTCCAGGAGTTACTTAAACATTTCTTAGCTTTGTGAAACTGCAATTGTTCTAGGAGCAACTAATCTTTGATTTCAAAATGGCAGAGCTCTGATTTCTTTGACATATTTGTATTCTAACCTGTTTTCATCTTACTTTCTCTAGCGAACAAAGAGCTTTGGTGTTGAAGAGAAACCCCAAAAAGGAATGGGCACTGTTCTGAAGCTGTTTGCCCTGATCCCAGGAATGCTGTAGAGGTTAGTGATGGCAATGCTTAAGTGCTTCCATGAAAATTGGCTTTAGATTTGTAATTTGTCATACTCTTTAACATATTCTGTATGAATCAATTTATTTGCCTGTCATAGAAAAAGAGGTAATATAGGCATACTTTGAATGCTGATGGTTTAAAGTTGCTCTACTCAATCAAAATTAAGGCTTTTGTTGATTTATGTAGAAGTCTTTGCATGTTTTTGGTTGACTTGAATCGCTTGATATTTATTTGTTGTAGCACAGTAAGTCAGGCGCTGTCTGAAACCTAGGTATATTTAGCTGAGTGAGTTAGATGGCCTCTTTTTCCCATGTCCTTTTCTTTTATGGTACTTTGCTGTCCTTTAGTAATTACAGAAAGCATTGAAACCTACTATTGAATGGAGGTGGTGTCGTTAACTTTTTAAATGTTAACTTTTATGCATTTTAATTTGAGGATTCTGGAAATCACAGAGATGCACGTGTGGAAGTCAAGGAATTTTCTTCTTGTGTCAGAGCAGAAGGCAGGTACCATGCAGTGGGCAGTTCTTCCTGCCTGCTTGCCAGGGCTGCCTCCCTCTATTTGTGTTGTGCAATACAGCTCAAGCAGTTTGTTTTGACTCCTGAAGCCGCGGGTGGGCTGCTGCTGCAGCCTTGCTTCTCCTTTTGTGTTTCTGCGTGCACGGTCCAGAACCCGGACTGCTGCCCAGCAGCTGCTGGAGGGTCAGGAAGGGTGGAGCCAGGGGAGAGAAGCACTGCATGGGGTGGTCATGGTACATGTGTTTCTTTGTCTTGCTGAGGATGTATGTGTGAGGGAAAAAATGATTTAAGCATCCTTTTTGCTAGGTTGCTGTAGGAGTTGTCAGAGCTTCACTCAGCATCTTATGCCTTTTTGCCCATAGGACTTTGACCTAACGTTTATTGATTGGCAGTAGTTCACTTAGTCTGTCACAGAACAAAAATGTAACACCAGGGAGGAACGATTGTATTGTTACAGAGATTTCATAGAATAAGATAGCAACCTCCACGTTTTCTATATGGGATGGGTCCGGAGAGGTCTGGCGTGCTGCTTTGTCCTAACCTCCCAGTGATGGAAAGGGACGTTTGCATGCTGTGCTTCTGCATACACAGCACACGTTGCACAGTTGTCAGATTTTGCTGGAAGATGGATTTACTGACTGCCTTTGAGGTAAACAGCAATATTTCACATTGCATCAATAATTTTTGCTACTGATGGACTAATGCCTGAAAGACCATTTGACGCGTTCCTGTCTATTGGTTCTGCCATAATCTTTTACAGATGTGAAGTGCAGCAAGGGGGTAATTATCTCTATTGAGGTTAATCCCATGGAGATGATGCTCTCTGATTCTGTAATCCCTGCTGCTGGTCTATTTGTCATTTTGGAATATGTCTCTCTCTCTCTGGTATCCTTGCAAAAGTTTTCTTGGCAAAACTGCAAATTAAGTTAGTTAGACTGCAGACACCTTGTGCACCAGAGGGATAACTGGAAGAGTGAGGATGCTGTGCATGATCTGTGCCGCATCTTATGTCCCCAGTAGAAGGTATGGGAGGAGCTACTGTTGATAAGCAATAGTCTGTGCAGGGTGAGCTTTAGGCAGTACCTGGGTAAGTCTTTATGTCCAGTTAGTTAAAACAATTCGGAAGCACAGTGAACCTAGCATGAGAGTTTTTGTGATTCCATTATAACACAAAAATCTGCCTGGAAGAAATCTCTAAGGCATGTTGCTGTAGGTGCAGCAATAACTACTCCAAGTGCTAGGAGGCCAAACTCTGATGGGTAGCAATTTTTCCATGTGAAATAACAACAAAACATGATATAACATATCATTAGCATATATAGCATATCATAACACGATATTGCAGTTTTAGATTGGGAGTTTGTTAGAAATCATGTTAATTCTTTGACATTGCTAAAAGGTCACCTGAAGGAGAAGGAAAAAGAAAAAGGAAAAACAAAACAAAACACATCAACTTTACTACTTGTGTGATAGGTGACAGAAGTGCCAGCAAGAGACTGCAGCTCTCTGCTTTGTGCCATAGCCCCCTTCTGATCCATAATAATCCAAGTACCTCCTGTGGCACAGATGGATATCCAGTGACTGGAAGAGTGTTTTCAGGAAGCTGTGGCTTCTGCCCTAATTTACTTTCTGTACCTGAGGTTATTATTGGAGGAATGAGCAGGTAAAGTGGGGAGACATTACATGAGTAAACATATTGATATGTGCATTTCTCTGGGAAATGATAACACCTGAATTAATATTTTTTTTTATTAAAAAGCACAAAAATTGTCAGTGTTAGTCTGAATCAGCTGCTGCATAGTTTTTGATGCTGTGCATACATACAATAAGTAGTATTGCAAGCTGGAATAGTAAGTGCATAAATAAATACAGAAAAGTGCATAAATAAATATAGAAAATTGAATTCAAAACAAGAAATTACACGCCATCTTACTTGTTTTATTTTTTCCAAAATAAATCAGTTTATTTTAACTGCCATTTCAGTAACTTTCCTTTACTTGGGGATGAGGAAAAGGGGAGGCAATACTGCTGTACAGATGGGCTTGCAGGCTATGGTGCATGGTTCTCATCTGTGGTGCCAGTTTCCCGGCCAGGCGTGCTGTCCTTCTGCCCTCGCGCGGCTTCTTCTGCTGCTGCCTCTGCTCCCGAAGGTGGCCGTGACAGGACGGAGGCCAGCAGAGGAAGCCTGTCCCTGCCCATCCCTGCAGCGCCCATTATGTGGTGGTAGAGCCCTGTGCTCGCAGGCGGGTGTCACCCAGCCAGGAGCTGGGGGGCCCGCAGCAGAGCATCCTGTCCCCTGCACCTCATGCCTTTGGAGGAGAGGATCCCAAAGCTGAGATGCTTGTGCTCAGTGTGAAGAAGTCCAGGTAGGGAAAGACTTAACAAATACAAGCTACTGGCATTGGTTGGCATTAACACCCCCCACATACCCACCTCATCCCCAACTAACATGTAATTACATGAAGTGCTGCTGGTAAGCTTTATCTCTTGTTGCCAGTCTCTTCTGGAGTTGTCCATACTCGTATAAAGAGAAACTGAAATGAACTACAAGCGGAGATCCAGTCCAAGTACAGTGATGCATATTTAACTAGCTGTGCATAATTTTTAGCTGTTTAGGCTGTTGACTGTTAAGAAGTAAGTGAAAAACAGGTAAATTAGACCTAGTGTTCTATCTCAGAAAGAAAATACTGTCTTTAAGTTGGTCGTGAAGAGTTTTCAAAATGCAGCCAATACAAGCTGCTGTTCTCAAGTGCAGTAGTCCCACTGTGAGGATTTGTAATCAGCTTCTGTTGGACACTTCTTAGAAATGAAACAATGTTGGAGAAGAACATCATATTACAATAGTAACTTGTCTGTATCTGCTTGTAGTAGGCTTACTTTTTACTTTATTCAAAAGAATCTCACTCTTTTGGGATTCTTAGCTGTCCTATTTTATCTTGTGGCGTATTTCTTAAACTTTTCTCAAGAAAGCATTTATTTACTGTGAAACGCAACTCCAGTTTTTGCACTATTGCTAACCAGGAGAAGAACATGGGGAAAGGAGAGGATAAGAAAAATAGTGTTGAAAGTAGTTATGGTAAATAGTATGTATACCAACTCATTAGTACTGGCATAAAGGACATAGAAGTACATCGAGGTGCTCGAGCAAGTCCAGAGAAGGGCGACGAAGCTGGTGAGGGGCCTGGAGAACAAGTCCTACGAGGAGCAGCTGAGGGAGCTGGGCTTGTTCAGCCTGGAGAAGAGGAGGCTCAGGGGTGACCTTATTGCTCTCTACAGGTACCTTAAAGGAGGCTGTAGTGAGGTGGGGGTTGGCCTGTTCTCCCACGTGGCTGGTGACAGGACGAGGGGGAATGGGCTAAAGTTGCGCCAGGGGAGTTTTAGGTTAGATGTTAGGAAGAACTTCTTTACCAAAAGGGTTGTTAGGCATTGGAACAGGCTGCCCAGGGAGGTGGTGGAGTCACCATCCCTGGAAGTCTTTAAAAGACGTTTAGATGTAGAGCTTAGGGATATGGTTTAGTGGGGACTGTTAGCGTTAGGTCAGAGGTTGGACTCAATGATCTTGAGGTCTCTTCCAACCTAGAAATTCTGTGACTCTGTGATAAAGAAATTAGATAAGCAGGAATTTTTTGAGATTATGTTGCTGTTTTCTCTCTGTATGAGAGAGACCAACTTTATTGCCCAAGAATATCTGTGTCCCCTTCTGCCATTTAGCCAGTCTGCAAGTGAATACCAGAAACCAATTTCAGCAGTGCTAAGTACTCAAATGAAGAGCGGGGGAGAACCTGAAGAATGCGTTTACTGAGCAATTAGTATTGCTTTACGGGTCTGCAGTTTTTAATCTGCATTGCAGATTATTTAATTACTTGTAGCTGTTTAATCGCTTAGGTGGCACTTGGACATATGGGGGACTGGAGTCTTGTGGCTCTGATGTGGTACGCTAGCTCAGAAGAGCCGTGTCCTGCAATGTGCCCATATTTTAAGAATCTTCATCATCATATATAAATTTCTGTATCATACAGTGGTCATCTTTTTGAAGGAAGAACAATGTGGTCTTCAGATTACATTTTTTAAGGAACATGATATCATGGAACGATAAGACTTTGGATCACTTCATGCTTTATTAGAGTCTGGAGACTCTTGGGGAGGTCGTCATGAACAGAAGATGGCATGGCATCTCTCATGCCTTTCTATGTGAAAAGCCATCTGCAATTGTATTTTTCTTTTGGTTTGGTTTTGTTTAGGAGTAGGTTATTTTGGTTTGTCTTACTTTTGTGGTTTGGCATTTCCATTGTAATTTGCAAAGATAGAGAGATGGGTAATGCTAATATTATCCTGATGCTTATTCAGTGGAGAAAAGCTGATAGTTATAAGCAGATAGATGCCAGTAAAAGGTACTTATCAGTTCTTCCCTTGTAAGTTCTGAGAATTTGCCAGTAACTGTAGACTGTTGCGGGGGGAGGGGACTTGCAAA